ACCCCTACAAGCGTCACCATGACAAGACTCGCAGCAACAGAACGTCAGCCTGTCAACCTCCTTAGCATGAAGCTCTGGTCCAGTTCCCCAATGGCCCTCGTCAAGATTTTCGTTAATGTCAATTAACGCCTCCTTCCACGTCATAGGTTGCGTCATCTTAATTCCCTTATTGGGGTGTCTAGGAGCGATGAAAAGCACCTCTGCCTCACCGACCATGTGGTCGCCGTCCCCTTCTGGATCTTTGTCAAAGTATTGGACTTTGAACCTTAGGACAATAAAATCTTTCCTTTAAATATTGGCAGACTGTCAGACTTGTAAGACGAGGAAGCTTCTTTCCAGATTTAACTGTGGGTTTTATGAATTGCCTAATGCGTTTCTTTAAAGGTGCAAAATTAAGAGTGCGTTTCGATCGTGGGATTTTGGGCAAAACTTAACAGAAGGGCAGTGGAACATTTTGAAAAAGTGTCGGGTGTGGGGGAGGACTTGCCATAAGCTGAGCCAAACGCATGTCTTATTAACAAGCTCCAGTCAGAAAAAAGGAAACAATACAAGGAGCCAATTAGAACTCAGATCAAAACGTACAAACTGTTTGAAGCGCGGAAAGAGTCAAGGGACTTGGCCAGTCGCCATTGTTTTTAGTTTTGCATCTGAATGGCCGAAGGAATGGCGCGCACATTCCTTGCCAAGAGCAGAGGGGTGGTAAAACACAGGTCCCAGTCATTGTTAAGTCTCAATGGAAAATCGCTTGAGTACATTTTGCTGATTGGTCCAAAATCTTTGTTCAGCTAACACTAAGTATTTCCAACTAGTTTGAAATGAGAGGCTTGCGTGCAGTACCTCACATGAAAGCGGTTAAACAACATTTCAAATTAGTGAGTTTTCGCGCAACATACAACACAGCTGAACCTTAAAAACTAAGTCACAAACCTGTAACTCCTAGGTTGGTTTCCGGGACTTCTCTCCACAAAGTTTATTCGAATATCTTCATTGATGTCTCGACCATCCATTCCTGTAAATGAACATCTCAGTTTTTTCCTGGCCATTTCGAGCGCGTTCATCAAGGTGTTACAAAACGCTTGTTCTGAAGCCGCACATCCACCATAAACAGAGATGATCCTTTTCAGTCTGAGTCTCAGAAGAGGCAAGATTCCAAGGTTTTCAACATGGCCGCCATCACTCAGACGCAATACAGGAGGAGGACTGGGCCCAAGGTTTAGTATCCCGATTGTTTTCCGAACATAACTGATGTAAGGTATGTGGACAGCAAAATATCTGACAAAAAACACAGTATGGCTTTTAGTGTAAAATGCTGGCCAATATTGGCTGTTCAACTTATTGGTTAGGGTCAAAGCGCACTAAAAGCAAGTGCATACCTGCGTGCCTTTCGGTCATTAGGGAACTGAAGCATAGACGTCTTTAGACGCGGATGGTACCCAGACGTTGAAAGTTCTTCTTGCTATCTCTTATTACGAGTAATTTGTCGGAAGAGTTTATTTTAAAATGCTACAACAAAAGATTATGAAATTCTTTATTTTTGGTACCAAGGCGCGCCAGCAGTAGACGTTCCCTCCTTTTATTCACCATCCCCATCTTAAATGCCAGGGTTGCGGACATGCATATCACCATGAGCAGGGGCGTTCTTACAATATAGGGAAGGATTTCAAAGAAACGCGCACACACAGGAATAGTAATACCCTCGAATAAATACTCCAAAGGTTGTCCTTCCTCGACGAGAGTGAAACCCTTAGAGGCGAACATTAAATTACTGTTAGTGACGATAAAAAAGGCATATTCAAACCTGGCCATCCTCTCCACCCGGCTGGGATTAGCAGATCCCGTGGGTATCAAGGCGATTACGGTCAACAGCAACAGAAGCAAGAAGAAACAAAATACTCCAAAGGTGAGATAGTCGTCACCGCCAAAATTATGGTAGAAAACGTATGATATCAAAAGTGGAGAGACTCTGAATATCTCGATGAAGTACGGAAGAATCTGAAAAAAAAAAAACGACGTACCACATTAAACGTTTAATTCTGCTGTCCTAAGAATCAAGGACACTCAAGTATGTGTCAAAATATGATATTACCCCACGAAACTTCGCTCATCGGTTATTGATTGTCCTGATTCTTTTTTCGGAAGAACAAAGTTATACCAACCTGAAGGCAAATATTGAGTTTCCTGACATGCCTCGGGTCGCTGACAACAGAGTTACCCATAGCAATTCCCAAGGTGACTTTCAGGTCTTTAAACATCTCTTCACCTTCCAGGGCACCCATGTGATGATCAACAGCAGCAGCTGACGTTGCCATGGCATCGGACAAGTAAATGTCCTCCGGCATAAGCTTGCCTTCTAACTCGCGCTCATGCGCAGGTCGATCCAGTCGTTCAATCCCTTGGGGGGACATGATAAGTGCTTCGTAGTCGGGTTCCGTGGAGGAGGTGGTGCGTCGCCATCGGTTGACCGCTGCATTGCTGATAAAGATAGGCTTGACGTTCTCAAGATCTTCCAAGGTCAGCGGGCGTTCAGGGTCGAGGTTAACACGCTGTTTGTGATCGAAATATGGGCAGCTGAGAAAAAAGTTGCGGAAGGAAATGCCGGCACAACCACACAATCCTCGACTGGTTGGCGTGAACAAGGCTTTTTGTAGCCGCCACCTGCAACTCAAAGAAGATCAAACGGCGTATTTAGATCTAGAGTTACATGCTCAATGGGCCAATTAAGGCCAACGCGATACAGACGCTTACTAAAACGCCCACGTGCCATCCCCATGCGCGCGAGATTGTTTACAAGGGCGCACGCAACATGTTATTATTTCATACGTAATAAGCGCTTGCATTGATTAGATGGCGGCACCATCATAAAGGCTAGAGCTCCACCTCATTGAACTTCGTTAATTTCATAATCAACGAGTAAAAGGAACTATCGCTTCTATACAATTCCGCAAAAAAGTGAAATGAAAACTTTTTAGGTACTCATAAATTTTGATATAATTATGTTTTAATCTCATGGTACTAGCTAAAGGGGAGAGAAAAGGGAGACATACAATTCACATACCTGTTGTAGACATGACCCAGACGCTGTTGTATCGTTCCTATCAGAGGTGAGATCCATAAGAGTAACCCTGAAGCCCACAACTGCTGAGCAAAGAAGTGGTCCGTGTAGGGATAAAAACTAAAGCTTTTCTTGTACACCCTATACACAATTACGTACGCGTAAAAATACACAATTACGACGAGCGTAGCGTTTTTTCTCATCACAGGAAACGAAAACCAAAGCACCACGGTGGGTAGAATGATCAGAACTCTCATCCAATCAGGTATGAACTCGAGCACGTCATGAAAAAACCAGGGCAGAAACACAAGGCCGAATATGACTCCAAACGAAGTGGTCAGGAAGGAGGAGGCGTTTTTTAATCCAGGTAACATTGGTGCGATGAAGTAAGAAGCAAATGCTAAGACAAGAGGAGCACCAAACAAAAGGAACCTTTCAATAGCTTTCCTCTCCCGTCTCTTTTCGCATTCTGAGACTGTTTCGTTCACCAGCAGCGCTGAGCTGTCACAATGTGTTATGATTCCGCCGCGGATGATATCCCCCGCTAAATAGTCGACAGCGAAAGCTAGAGGGCATGCGTAAGCACTCCACAAAATAAATGGAACAACAAGGGTGACGAAAACTGGAAGACAGAAAAGAACTGTACAATCAAATACTCCATGTATAGGCCGCTGCCAGTCGCAAAAGATCCCACTCCGCTCGCGCAGATGGTTAAAGAATTTGAAATGCCAGTCTTTGCTGTCTTGCTTGCCATGACGGTACTTCCAGTCCATGTAAGCAGAGCCTGTATAACCTCCCCCTGACACGCAACTCAGATAATCCAAGTTGGTCTCTCGCTGAAGCAGTCTGCGTAAGACTCCAGAGCAGAAGGCCGCTGACCGAACTCCGCCGCCTGAGAATGCTAACCCAGCTTTGGCCATTTTCTATGAAAGATTAAAACAATTTGAATGATACTCAAAATTTAGTTGGGGACTATAGGATTGGACGCTATTCAGTTAAAAAAAATTCATTAGGGAAAAAAAAAAACATAAAACGTATGGAAATGCTCCTTAAAGAACCCGGCACCGGGTGCTCTCGCAGTTCTAATTACATGACTTGCAAAGATAGTGTATATCTCCTTAATATTTGTTTGTTGATTTTTGATTTTCCACTTTTATCTTCCCTTTCCATCCTGCCATTATTCTTCGCATATTTAGGTGTCTTTTTCTCTATTTTTGTTTCTTTGTTTGTTTGTTTGTTTGTTTTTTTTTTCCAGAAAACGCTCTCTCGGTTTAAGGAGAGTCTTAATGGGGTGATGGCTTTACGGCTAATGGTTAAAATTTTGGCCAATGACGGTTAACACTTTTCCATTGTTTCCACCAGACATATTTTTTACGATTAACTTTTCTGACGACTAACGGTTTAAATTTGTCAGTTTTTACGCCAAAGGGCTAAATGTTTTGGCCGTTTTACGGGTAACGGTTAACCCCATTGAGACCCTATTTAAAGCAGAGCGTTACGGTCCTTCTTAGAGGTCCAAAAGCGGTTAACCGTCAGCCGTAACACGGCCAATAAGTTTACTCGTCAGGCGTAAAAAAATTCTCAAATTTTAAGAGCCAATCGTAAAATACGTCAAAGAAGCTAGCCGGTAAACATAAAAAATAGCCAAAATTTTAACCGATAACCGTAAAAAGCCATTACTTCATTGAAAACCTCTTCTTATATTCTTTATTCAGTTATCTTTTTCCTCTATCTTGGATCTTTGGTCTCACTAATTTACTATTGTTATTATTGTTTTTGTTAGCAATATTATCATTATAATAAGTATTTTTCCTTTTAAAAGCAAAGTCTTAAGTGGTCTTTAACCTGCGCCAGAGGTCCCCGACCTGGCAAAAATTACAGTTTAGAAATTGATGGACTTACAGAAAATGAAATATGACCATTTTCATTCTCTTCCTGCATGAATATATTGATCGATCAGTCATCCATGAAGTCATTATGCAACTGAGCAAGAGTAAACATGTGAGCCGCTTTGTGTCTGTTTTAATCCGACTGTTGTGAGTTTGCCAAAGAAAACGGTTTTTGTCTGATTAGTGTAAATCATTGATCCATGAAAGGACAGATAATTTATCGATCTTATATGAAACGACAACTCCAAATTAGATATAGACGCCACGATTGACTTTTTTTCCTTTCGCTTAGTTTAAGCACTTCCGCACAAAATTATGTTCCACATATTTCATGATATATCTCATCCACCATCAAGACAACTGATCGATGTCGTCGATTAATTAGCTTTTGAAGATTTGGACCTTCGAAGCAGAACGGGATTACTTGCCTAATGTCTCTGTCTTAAACGCTAAACATACTAAATCATGCCACAAGTTTGCTTCGTGTTTACTTACCTAATGGGAAGTTAGTAGATTGACAACGTGTATTCCGCGTTAAAAGTAATCTCACTTTGTTAGAGAGCTAAATTAATGAGTCGAGCGGCGTCTGAACAAGGCCTAACGAACTTACAAACCACTCGCTTGTGATAAATTAAGTCAACGACGTGAGACAGTAATAAGATACAGGGTCAATTGACCCCCCCACTGTTAGGACAGAAGTTTTTTTCCAAACCAGGGCCCGGAGAGGCATACAGTAATGTGGACCCTTGGACTATTTTTCGGACCATATTTTTGGGTCCATTGTTTGGACCATTTTTTTTTACCTTTTTTGGACCATTTTTTGGGAACAATTTTGGACTACCAGTGGGAGGCGGGGGAAGGCAGACCATTAGTGGTCAGGGAGGGGTGGGATGCAGTCTACCACTACTGAGGGAGGGGTGGGAGGCGGACTGTTATTACTCAAGGAGGGGTGGGAGACCGTTATGCAGGGAGGGGTGGGAGGTGGTTGTATTAGTAAATACTACTGATTAATTAAGTTTTTACGAAATCATACAAATTATTTTGAGCAGTGGCACGAACAATATCATAACCGAGCGTTCAAATACAAATGTAAGATCTTAGCTTGCGGAATGTTGTAAATTGTTAATTAGAGTGTGGCTGCTGTTGCACGTCGTCTCAATTAGTGTTTTTCCAACCGGTGAGTCAGCTTCTTTTGTTTTCCATATCGCATACTTTCATTCACTATTGTTTATTCGTAATTATTGGCGTCAAATATACTTTCACTTAGTCGTTTCGC